TTCGATTTTTTAATTCCTCGATTCTTCAATTCTCGATTCTTCAATTTCTCGATTCTTTAATTTGTCGATTCTTCATTTTTTCGATAGTTCAATTTCTCGATTCTTCAATTCCTCAGTTCTTCAACTTTTCTATTCTTCAATTTCTCGATCCTTCAATTTTTTGTTTCTTCAATTTTTCGAATTTTCCATTTCTGGATCCTCCAAATTCGACTCTTCAATTCCTCGATTCTTCAAAATTCGATTCTTTAATTCCTCGATTCTTCAATGCTCGATTCTTCAATTACTCGATTCTTTAATTTCTCGATTCTTCATTTTTTTCGATAGTTCAATTTCTTGATTCTTCAATTCCTCGATTCTTCTAATTCGATTCTTCAATTTTTAGATTCTTCAATTTTTCGGTAGTTTCGGCTTCAGGTACCGTCAGTAGTCATATAGTGAGGGTCCTAGTTCAAGAAATCTGAGCTAGGAGCCCCACTACTTTTTATCAAGCGTTTCTCATCGTCTTGTCCTCGATACACAGCGATCATTGACCTTTTCGGCCGGCACGTGTCTGTTGTTGACCTGGGGGTTCAATGACCCCTCTCATACAGCTTAGTAACAAAATACAGATTTATAAACAAAACATTTAAGTGAAGTCATATTGGCCGAGTAGTCTAAGGCGTTAGATCTAAGCTCTCATTCCCGAAAGAGAGCGTGGGTTCGAATCCCACACCTGACAGTTTTTTGCGTTTAAATAAAACACATTTTAATGTTTTTACTTCCCGAGCGTAAGCAAAGGAAGTATTGTAATCGAGTCCGTCGGCCGACTCTCTACTTTTACGTTTTCTCGATCTTTCATGACCCCTAGAAGACGAAGAAATAGGTCTCCCATTTCCGTCTGTCTGTCCGTCTGTCCGTCTGTCCGTCCGTCTGTCCGTCCGTCCGTCTGTCCGTCCGTCTGTCCGTCTGTCCGTCTGCCCCTGGATTTTTATTAGACAGATAATCTCCGAAAGTACTCGACCGATTGTTGTGAAATTTTGTACTTATATTAAGAATATCATGTAGATGGTAAAACGCTAACCAAAATTTGTCTAATCATCCCCACCACTAATGCGATGACGTCACTTCAAAATTGTACATAGTAAATGGGTTTTCAATTGTATAAAATAACATAGTCCTACACATGTAGTTTACAACTCCGAATCGACTTTTCACCCGAAACGTCCAGATTTTTGGAAAAAAAATCAAAATTATAAAACAACATTTTGAAATTTAATTTTTAATCTGCTAACCAGAATGCTTTGAAATGTTGCAGATGTTTTAAGGCTATAAAGAGCATCATAAATCTTTAGTCAAAAAATATTTGCTTACCCCCTCCAAAAACTTGATGACGTCAGCTCAAAAGTTTGTGGAATAAATCATATCTAAAATGTACAAAATATGATGAGTCTGTACTTGTGATCTATCACTCCATTCATATTTTTTGGATTTGCATATACAGGGTGACTCAAAAAAATTAATGAATGCGTAAATATATTTTATTGATTTAATCAGGAACTACAAAACCGAATGCTCTGAAATCTTGCAGATGTTTTAAGGTCATAAAGAGCATAATAAATGTTTAGTCAAAATATATTTGCTTATCCCCTCCAAAAACTTGATGACGTCAGCTCGAAAGTTTGCCGAATAAATCATATCTAAAATGTACAAAATGTGATGAGCCTGTACTTGTCATTTATCACTCCATTCATATTTTTTGGATTTGCATATACAGAGTGACTCAAAAAAATTAATGAATGCGTAAATATATTTTATTGATTTAATCAGGAACTACAAAACGGAATGCTCTGACATCTTGCAGATGTTTGAAGGTTATAAAGAGCATAATAAATGTTTAGTCAAAATATATTTGCTTATCCCCTCCAAAAACTTGATGACGTCAGCTCGAAAATTTGCCGAATAAATCATATCTAAAATGTACAAAATATGATCAGTCTGTACTTGTGATCTATCACTCCATTCATATTTTTTGGATTTGCATATACAGGGTGATTCAAGAAAATAAATGAAAGCGTAAATTTATTTTACTGATTTACTCAGGAACTACAAAACCGAATGCTTCGAAATCTTGAAGATATTTTAAAATTATCATGAGCATGGTAAATTTTTGATCAAAATGTATTTGGTCGTCCCCCCTAAAAAATTTATGACGTCACCACAAAATTTTGCTGAATAAATCCTATCTAAAATGTACAAAATATGGTGAGTCTCTTCTTGTGATTTATCATTCCATTCAAATTTTTTCGATTTGCATATACAGGGTGACTCAAAAAAATTAATGAATGCATAAATTAATTTTATTGATTTAATCAGGAACTACAAAACCGAATGCTTTGAAATCTTGCAGATGTTTTAAGGTTATAAAGAGCATAATAAATTTTTAGTCAAAATATATTTGGTTATCTTCTACAAAAAACTGATGACGTCAGCTCAAAAGTTTGCCGAATAAATCGTATCTAAAATGTACAAAATATGATGAGTTTGTACTTGTGATTTATCATTCCATTCATATTTTTGGATTTGCATATGCAGGGTGACTCAAAAAAATTAATGAAGGCGTGAATTTATTTTATCGATTTAATCAGGAATTACAAAACCGAATGCTTTGAAATCTTGGGAATATTTTAATGTTATTATAAGCATGGTAAACTTTTGTTCAAAATGTATTTGTTCATCCCTCCTAAAAAAATTGATGACGTCACCCTTAAATTTTGCTGAATAAATCCTATCTAAAATGCAAAAAATATGATGAGTTTGTACTTGTGATTTATCATTCCATTCATATTTTTTAGATTTTCTTAAGAGGTGGTTCAAAAAAATTAATGAAGTCAATTTATTTTATTGATTAAATTAAAGGCAACACTTATTATTAGTATTACACCCCAACCAACCCAATTTGTTAGACACAAAATTTGTTAAAGGAAAAACTCGGTTGAAACATAAGGGTAGCACGCTTATTTACATCGACTTTAACATTACAGACCTGCATTTGTTTTATGCGGTCACTTGGTTCCGCGAATGCGAAATAGACATGTTTATAATCAACCAATTGTGAATTTCACCGTCAAGAATTAAAATAAAACCTAATGTTTTGTATAATAAGCGGAAGTCGAAGCAATAAAACCGATGGTCGTGTTGTTTACAGTTTCCCTGTTTGACTCTCACGTATGCTGTTACGCTTGTCATCTTAAATTAAGAATGTTTATACATAAACGATTTTCAGTTGCCTCTCATATTACACTGATATTACTAGACAGCGGATTTCTGTCGGGCTACGTCACGATTATAGGTGGGGACGCGCTGGATCACCGGGACTCAGTAGCGGGTGATAGATAATCACTGAATTTAATCAGTACTAATTCCATAAATATAATTAACGATTTATTAATCAAACGGCTAAGTAAATGAGAGCGGGAATTAACAGCAGAGTGCAACGAAACAGCGTTATTCTAATCTCAAATAAACGAAGTGCAGTCCGTAACTGCAATGAATTCGCATCCCGTACGAGCCGTACCGAGTTTGGCCTTGCCTAACCGGACAGAAATTCGCTCTCTACATATTACACACCGACGTCGTATACGTGAGTAAATTGTTTCGTTATTTTATTGATTATAACAAATCAATATTCAAAACGACCCAATTCATTTTCCCGAAAATTTGGGAATACAATAATTTTATTCTTAGTATTACACTACATCTATCCCAACTGATATACGTGTCCTTGCAAAAATGTTGATGACGTCATCACAATTTTTTTTTAAATTCCCACTACAAAAATGTAATGAGAAAAAAGCACAATGGGCATGCAGTCGTCAAGTTTCCGACAGCGAGGGAAGTACTGTCTAAACTCTTTAGACCAATTTTTTATCTTAGTCGTTATAGCCTGATAGGAAATAAAGACCGTACATTTTACAACTATTACGTGGAGTATTATTGATTTATGTAGATGCCGCTTACGAAACTACTGGAGAAGCGTTTCTCTGCCTTTGAGTTCCCCAGGTGTTCTCAAAATTTTTCAAAAATACCAGGGTTTCTTTTTGCATTACATCCCTTAATAAGTATTCGATTTTCCAAATCTTCTTCATTTTCCAATAGGGTAGAGTACACTAACGTGTTCGCAAGTGCCCCTTTAAATAAAATTCGAATTTTAGAGATTGTTTAACAGATTTTACTTCAAATAAGTTTGGAATGAATGGAGAATCTGCGCTTTATCGTTATTGGAGCAGAGTCGTTTGCATCCAAAGAACACCTTGGAACCCCACTTAGCGTAAACGGTAGATCATTCACGTGTATTGTGAAGAAGTAAGGACGTAAAATTGACCCTGCAGAACTCTTTTATAAATTGGTTGTCGTCGACATTAAAAACTTATGAATATATTTTCCACAAAATTAAGATAGCAATCAAGCTAACTTCAACCGAACAAAACATTGCTAAACGTGAGTTGGATGCTTTATGTCTTGACAAGATAACGTCGATCCCACATAACGTGGGTGTAAAGAAGGATTCTAACCCAAATTATGGGTGTTATCGCCAAGATCACCACATTTATAGTCAATCCCACTATGGAAAATGTTGCCTCGAAATCTATGTCGTTTCTTAGCTGAAGTGCTTTTACATCAGCTTTATTAAATAAATAGACACTCAACTTCAAGTGCGCTTTGGTTCTCCGGGAAAAAATAACCCTTTGTGTGAAATATCGCCAAAAAATCCTGCCAAGAATCCCGGAGTCGTCAAAAAGAGTCGAAACCCCGCAGACAAAGCTTTCTCCCGATGAACCAGACCTCGCAATCACATAAAAGCATTGCAACCCCGACCCGTAATCCACAACAAATCCTCCCCATAAATAACAACCGACCATAAACCGGCCCAATCGATACGTAATTACTATATCAACATGCCTGTGATTGCGATTTGATTTTCGACCGCATTGACATCTCAACTGTCGTTTCGTGTTCCTGCAATGGCGCTCGTCCCCAAAGTCCTCCCGTTGATGAACCGCGTGCTGGTGAAGAAGGCCGAGCCCATGGTGAAGTCCAAGCGAGGTGTCCTGATCCCGGACGTCCGCCAGCGGGTCAACCGGGGGACCGTGGTGGCGGTGGGTCCCGGAACCACCAACGACACGGGCAAGTGCATCCCGTGTTGTTTGAAGGTGGGGGACGTGGTGATGCTGCCGGACTACGGCGGGACCAAGGTCCAGCAGGAGGACAAGCAGGAGTTGTACTTGTACAGGGAGCAAGAAATCCTGGCGAAGATAAACGAGTAGGAGCGCACCAGTTATAAATTTAGTTTGACTCATTACCCACCCTATTTAACCTTTCCATTACGACTGAGTTAATAAAAATAATTAATCGCTGCCTGCGCACTGGACGTAATTTATTGCCCTGTGTTTTCAGCTTTCGGTGATTGCCCACATCACTCATCCCTGGTGCGTTAATGGATATTCAATATTTTACGTGCGACTACCTACATGTTGTTAAAATCGATCAATAAACGAATTTGGCGAGTGTTTTAAGGGTTGGGATGGGAGTGTGTTTTTGTCTTTGGCGGCGTGGGAGGTAAGAAACGCTGGATTTGACCTAAATGTTGGTTTATTGATTCGGTTTCAAAATGAGTGGGCTTGTAATGCCCACATAAGAGCTTAATATTTTCAGCCAATATCGTGAAAGCTGGATTGACGCAGGGTTGGGGTTTGTAACCTGGAGTTGAAATGTTTACCCGGAATGCATGTATGGCATGGCTGGATAAACATGTGTTCAATGCATTTGTGTAACATGTGTACGAATGTATGGTCATACGTGTTGAAACTATTGGTGTAAAGTGGGAAATGGGCATTGAATGCTACATTGTCTACAACATTAATAATACAAGGACAGAACAGCTCGAAGTTTTAAAAGGGATGTATATATCGGGCGAAGAACATAAGTTGTAGTCGAGTCATCCTCGGAAAGAATTTAGCACGTCGGTGATTAAGCCAAATTGATAAATGCCAAAAAACTAGAAGATTAATAAATTTTATCAATTCTATTGTCATCAAATTTAGCCAAAAATCTGCTGTAGTTCCAGTTGAATGAGCAATAGCACTATCCTGCTGAAAGTAACAACAAACTAACTGGTCATCATCCAGTTGATTAACAATGGAGTTAAGATTTCGTCTCGGAATTTTGCAGCATTTATGTTTCCTGAAAAGATTATTATTGGGACAACTCTTCGAAAAAGTGTGGATTTTCTGAGGTAAAACTCGCACTCCAGTTCTGAAAAGAAATTAAATAACAATAAACCGCGAAAAATTGATACTTAAGTCTAGGTAATGCTGCCGTTATGTATTGCCTTTAAAGCAATTTGAAAGAATCTCTGCCTTTTGTCTGTTTTTTTAATTAATTTGAAAGAATCTCAGGGACCCCTTGTGTCTGGTTTTTGAAGTAATTTCAAAGAATCCCGGGGATCTTTCTATGTCTTGTTTTTTAATTATTTCAAGGAATCTCGGGGATCTTTCTGTCTTGTTTTTGAAGTAGTTTAAGAAAATCTTGAGGACCAATTGTGTCTGGTTTTTGAAATACATAGTTAGAATCTCGTTGACCAATTTTGTTTTGTTTTTGAAGCAATTTGAAGAGAATGTCGGGGACCCCTTGCGTCTGGTTTTTAAAGTAGTTGAAAGAATCTCTAGGACTTCTTGTGTTTGCTTTTTGAAGTAATTTCAAAGAATCTCGGGGATCTTTCTGTGTCTTGTTTTTGAAGTAGTTTGAGAGAATCTTGAAGACCACTCGGGTCTGAGTTTTGAAGTAGTTTTAAATAATCTCGAGGGCGCCCTTTTGTTTTGTTCTTGAGGCTTTTAGTTTTTGAAACAATGCAAGGACCACTTTCGTGTGGTTTTTGAAGTAGTTTGAAAGAATCCCAGGGAGCTTTTGGGTTTTATTTTTGAAGAAGTTTGAAGAAGTCTTGCACCTGGTTTTGAATTAGTTTCTAAGAATCTTAGGGATATTTCTGCGTTTAGTTTTTGAAATACCTAATTAGAAAGAATCTGGAGGATCCCCTGTGGGTCTTGTTTTTGAAGTAATTTGAAAGAACCGGGGACTCTTTGGGTTTTAGGTTTGAAGTAGTTTAAAGAGAATCTCAGGGACCTCTTGTCTCAGGTTTTTGAAGTCTAACTACTTCAAGAACCAGAAAGAATCTTGGAGTCTATTTTACATTATTTCAATGGAAGAATGTAATTGATTTATTTTGCCATATGTATCTGGTTTTTGAACTAGTTTGAAAGAATTTTGGAGACCACTTGTGTCTTGTTCTTGAAGTAATTTGAAAAAATTTCGGGGATTCTTTTTGTTTTTAAAGTAGTTTGAAACAATATCGAGGATCCCTTTTATGGTGTTTTTTAAGCAAGTTGAAAAGAATCTCGGCAATTGGTGTGTCCTGTTTTTGAAGTAATTGGATAGAATCTCGGCGACTCATGTTGTGTTTTTGAAGTAGTGTGAAATGATCTTGTGGACCTCTTGTGGAATTTGAAAGAAGTTCGGGGACCCTTGTGTTTTATGTTTGAAGTAGTTTGAAAGAGTCTCGGGCACAGTATTTGTTTTGTGTTTGAAGCAACTTGAAAATAATGCGGAGACCATTTTTGTATGATTTTTGAAGTGGTTTCAAAGAATCTCGGGGACCTCTTGGATTTTATTTTTGAAGAAGTTTGAAGGAGTTTTGCACCTGGTTTTGAATTAATTTCTAAGAATCTCGGGGATCTTTCTGTCTATTGTTTTTGAAGTAATTTGAAAGAATCTCAAGGACCCCCATGGGTCTTGTTTTTGAAGTAATTTGAAAGAATTCCGGGAATCTGGGTTTTACGTTTGAAGTAGTTTGAAAAGAATCTCAAGGAGTTCTGCTCTTTGGTTTTTGAAGTAGTTTGAAAAAATCTCTGGGATCTTGGTTTTTGAAGTAGTTTGAAAGAATCTCGGGGATTTTCTGCGGGTCTTGTGTTTGAAGTACTTTAAAAGAACCTCGGGGACCGCTTTTGTTTGGTTTTTCAAGCATTTTATAAAGAATGCGAGGACCACTTTCGTCTGGTTTTTGAAGTAGTTTGAAAGAATCCCAGGGACCTTTTGGGTTTTATTTTTGAAGAAGTTTGAAGGAGTCTTGCGCCTGATTTTGAATTAGTTTCAAAGAATCTTGGGGATATTCCTGTGTATTGTTTTTGAACTATGTAACTAATTTGAAAGAATCTCGAGGACCTCCTGTGGCTCTTGTTTTTGAAGTAATTTGACAGAATCTCGGTAACCTTTTCGGTTTTAGGTTTGAAGTAGTTTGAAAATAATCTCAGGGACCTCTTCTGTGTGGTTTTTGAAGTAGTTTGAAAGAACCTCGGGGATCGCATTTGTTCTGTTGAAAGAATCTTGGAGACCACTTTTGTATTATTTTTAAAGCAATTTGTAAGAATCTTGGGAATCATTTATGTCTTATTCTTGAAGTAATTTGAAAGAATTTCGGGGACTCTTTTTGTTTTTGAAGCAATTTGAAAATAATGCAGGGACCACTTCTGTGTGATCTTTGAAGTAATTTGAAAGAATCTTGGGTTTTATTTTTGAAGAAGTTTTAAAGAGTCTTCCGTCTGGTTTTGAATTAATTTCTCAGAATTTCTGGGATTTTCTGTGTATTGTTTTTGAACTACCTAACTTGAAAGAAGCTCGAGGACTCCATATACGTTTTGTTTTTGAAGTAATTTGAAAGAATTCCAGGGACCCTTTGGGTTTTAGGTTTGAAGCATTTTGAGTAGAATCTCGGGCAGCTCTTCTGTCTGATTCTTAAAGTACTTTGAAAGAATCTCGTGGACCTCTTGGGTTTTATTTTTGAATGATTCTTACGCCTGGCTTTAAATTAGCTTCTAAAAATCTCGGGGATATTTCTGTGTAGTGCTTTTGAAGTACTTAATTTGAAAGAATCTCCGGGATATTTCTGTGTATTGTTTTTGAAGTACCTAATTTGAAAGAATCTTGCAGACCCCTTGTGGGTCTTGTATCTGGTTTTTGAAGTATTTTCAAGGAGTCTCTGGGACTTATTATGTCTAGTTTTTGAAGTACTTTCAAAGAATCTTGGGGATCTTTCTTTGTCTTGTTTTTGCAGTAGTTTGAGAGAATCTTGGGGATCACTTGTGTATGGTTTTTGAAATAGTTTGAAAGAATCTCGGGGACCCCGTGCGTCTGGTTTTTGCAGTAGTTTTAAACAATTCCGAGACCCTATTTTGTTCTGTTTTTGAAGTAGCGTGGAAGAATCCTGGGAACCCCCCGTTGCACTTGCCTTTGAAGTAATTGAAAGAATCTATTTCTAAATTTAAGCGTGTGGTTTTTAAAGTAATTTGAAAGAATCTCGGCGACCGGTTTCGTTTTGATTTTGAAGTATAAATGAATGAATTTATTTTTTAACAATCAATATAGATCACCATGTTACACGTCAAAATACAAAATTAAAATTAAAAGATAAAAGTATTTTATAAAATAAGATTTACAACTTTCAGTTTTTTGCAAATTAAAGATTGCTTTGATCCACTTTTGAAGAATAAATATTCTGAAGAAATCACTTGAATTTCCCCAGTCGTTTCAAATAAACTCGGGAATATTTGTGTTTGGGTTTAATTTTTGAAATATTTTTAATAGAATCTCGGGGACCTCTTCTGCCCGGTTTTTGCAGTAGTTTTAAAGAATTTGTTTTAGAAGCAATTTGAAAATAATGTTGGGGACCACTTGCGTCTTGATTTTTAAAGTAGTTTGAAAGAATCGTTGGGATTTCTTGTGTCTAGTCTTTGAAGTATTTCAAAAAATTGCGGAGATCTTATTTTGTCTTATTTTTGAATTACATAGTTTGAATAGAACATCGGGCATCCATTTTCTTTTGTTTTTCGCTTGTGCCCATTTTTGAAGTAATTTGAAAGAATCTTGCAACTCCTTTTGTGTTATTTTTAAAGTAATTTGTAAAAATCTCGCTAACCACTGATGTCTTTGTCTTGAAGTAATTTGAAAGAATTTCCCGTTATGTTTTTGAACTGATTTTTCGGTGATCACTTGTGTCTGGTTTTTGAAGTACATAGTTTGAAAGAATTTCGGAGATCACGTTTATTTAGTTTTTGAAGCAATTTGAAAAAAAATCTCGGTGATTACGTGTGTCTTGTTTTTGCAGTAATTTGATAGAATCTTGCGCACCTCTTTTGTTGTGTTTTTGAAGTAGTTTGAAAGAGTCTTCTTGACCACTTTTCAAATTTGGAAGAACTTCGGGGACCCCCTGTG